TTCTAAATTCATGTCGTTTATCTATGTCGTCGTGAATATTATAATCTAATAATGCAAACGCTCGATTAATTACAGCAAAAATTAATTCTCTTCTAATAGTGGACATAGCGAATTTTCTTACTAAAGTTTTTAATTTATTCAAAAAAAAAAAAATTATTTTGAAATAAAAAAAAAAGTGTAACACTTAGTATGGGCGTATTTTAATTCCGAAATTAGTGTAACCCGAATTTTTTCATTGGATCACCTATTATAACAAAGTGTGTATTACGATAGATTAATGAATAAGGAAAAATTAGGGTCTGTTTTTAAATTTAACCTATACCCGTTCATACTACTAGTATATAAGTTAGGGTCTGTTTTTTACTTTACGCTAAATATAAAAATAAATAGGCTTTTTAATTTTTCAAGCTTAGTATAGGTTTATTGTTGTACAAAAAAAACAAAAAATAACAATATAAATAAATTATAAATGGAAAACAAAGGATCCCAAGAAGAAAAATTAGAAATAGGGATACTTATGAAAAATATTAAACAATGTTGGAAAAGATTGTTTAATAGAATTGGATAGAAAAAAAATATTTGGATAACCGGTAATAAATTAAAGATTTGTTAAGATAATATAGAATAGAGAAAAATCCATTCTTAACAATATTTTTATTTAGGTGTAATAGAATTATTAACAAAGATTGTTACCAAATAAAGACGTTCATGTTACTAAAAAAAATTTTTTATGGTTAAAGATATAATTCACCGAAGTAATTTTTATTTGAATAATAATTTTTTTAAAAAATATCGTCTAAATTTAATTTTCTTACTATTGTTAATGGTTTATCTTGATAAAACGAAAGTGATTATAAATTTTTAATTATAATGGACGAAATCATTAAATTATTTTTATAAAATGCTTTTGAAATGTATAATTTCGATTGGGTCTTTAAAAAAATTAGTAGCCTGCATCTTTTTGTATAACTTTTATGAGAACTTTTTAGGGTGAAGTAGTTTTCTAGGTTATTCATTAGGAAATTTTATATTAATTTTGTTGGGTAAAGTTTTTTAAAAATTTTTGAACCAACCTTCTAGAAGGTTCCACTGTAGGATTTCTTAGGTTAGTTGGTTAGTTTCGTATAGTATGACGAATAAGAAATAAATAAGTTTGGTTTTGCTGCGCCAATACTAATTTTAGATCTTATATTTAAAAATGTTCTTTCCTTATTTTTAATTTTCTTCTACATAACAACACATTATTAAAAAGTTTCCAATACTGCTTCATCCTACCAAAAATTAACCAAATATAAAAGTCATATGTTCGACTTCTTTTATTTACGAACTGCAACTCGTTATTTATAATATAAATAAAGTACTATTATGTAGTTATTTACAGTATATTAGCAATTCATTTCTTTTGTTCTAAATCGTTCTTGTCTATGTTGTTATCGCATTAATAAAAAATTTATCGCGTTAAAGAATTTTTTTTTTTACAAGGAATCACGCGCAATGAAAAGGCGCAGTATTAAAATTCGTTAATACCCTTTTTAATTATATAACAATTAAATATAACTATTTTAAACGTTTAGCGGTTATTACACAAATGCATAAAATAAATCGGCAAATTTTAACACGCCAAGTAAATTAATTGGATCAAAAGTCGCAGTTTTGGTCAAATTCTTCTGACATTAACTATCATTAACAACGATAGAATCGAATAAACATTTAAATAACTTTTTTATTGCGATTTCTCGGTGAACCAAAAGACTTTGATTGTACTAATAAAATCTAAATTTTAATTGTTTTCATATTTATTATATACAAAAATTCAAACATATGAACACAACACAAATGGATTATCTTTTAGGGTTTTAGGTGATCATGAATGTGATGTTTTTGGATTTCTTTGTTTAAGGGTTTTGAAATTGTTGTGGCATAATAATTCATACAATATTCTAGTGTATTCTATATCAAAACTTATGATTGTTCTAATTCTTTTGAGATTAATCTTTAAATTTAAATTTATAAAAAATCACTTCAATATACTATACGCAGTAAAAAAATAGCCAATAATAAATGATCAATTATGGTTTACTGGCGTTTTCAGTGCTAATAAATCATAGTAAGGTGAATTAACTAACTTAAACTGCCTAATTGACTTATATGAGCATGACTGTATAGAAATCTGAAATAATATATAAAGTTGGGACTCAAAATAATCAAAGAAATTCCAATAATATTAAATTGTAATATGAAACAATGTAACACCAATCAAGTTAATAAAACATATAGTGTTACAACTGATATTTTAGTATTAATAAATACCATCTACAAAATATAACAGAATTTGTCGTTCCTAATCTCTCAACTTGAATTCTAACCTTTAATGTAAATAAGTAAATAACAAAATATATATTGTTTTCTTGTATACTATATGGTACTAATTTGCAATAATAACAGACCATGTGTTCTTGATTAGCGCGTTGAGCAGACACTGTTCTTTGCTGGCGGAGATTTTATAGGATTATCGTGACGTAGTTTATTAACTGGTAAATATATTGCACTTGTTCGAGGTCCTCTAGTTCCTTGCCTGTGAATTCTGACATCTCATATTTCTTCACTTCTTGTTTATACACCAACTCCCAATTATCCTTATGCTCATCAAATGTGTCTTTTATCGAAAGTTATTGTCATATTCAAGGGCAGATTCATTAGCAAATAAAAGAAACCCATTTTTTTTGTCACAATTTTCCATCGAAACAGGTCATCTGAAGTTCTGACTATAAAGGCATTAGATAAAAACAATATCAAACACTGCATATTATTGCTTGACCGTTATTTAGAGAAAATTCCAACATTATTCAGAAACTTCTGTGCCTGTCCTCATATTATTTGACTGCCTCAGATGGATGGTAAATTTCAGTATTTCAGTCATAGGAGATATTTCGAGCAGGCTGGAAGCTATACATAAGTGTTTATTGAGGATGAAAACGTTCATTTGATGACTCTGGAATGTTTAACAATAACAAAAACTGAACCACTCTTCCCGATGGACTTCAAAAAAAAATTGGATATCTTAAATATCTTACCACGTGAATTATCTACCGTTAAGGTTAAACCCTCCTTCCTGTAGACAAAAGTTAATAACTGAAAAAAATGGTATAGATTTAATCGCAGTAGTGTATACTTACTTTTCTCTTCGTCGTTAGGTTTTGAATTAGTTGTTGCAAAAGCAGTAGATACGGTATATGGATAAAAGCTAGTGAGAGTTATAAATCCAGTGTAGAAAAATAAATTGTCTATATTAAATTTATTGTCACGCAGAGAGTTATTGGTCAATCTATCATGTTCATTGGAAATTAGAAACGGTACTATATCTCGAAATCTGATCGAGGCGGATGAAAAAAAATCAGGTATACTTTTTTTCTTCACATCATTAAAATTTACTAATGTTGATGCTGATATATTAATTAACGCTATTACGCTAGATTCAAATGTGGAAAAATGAAGAATCATTAGATTGGAGAAAAAAATTTTCAGAGTATTGATTAAAAAGATGAATAATTACATAATTTTTTGGTCATACAGTTGACTAAATCACATTACGTATATCGTGTGCAAAATATTTTCTGGCATAATGATATTTCCCGCCAGAGTTTAATACTATTTATTATTTCCAAAAATGGAATTGTTTTGAGTATGGATAACTTGAATTCTTGGTAAATTTTAGACTTTTGGTTTGGTATTGGGCTTTTTTTCGTTAACAACCAAATTTTCTTTTCTTTTTTTTTTTTTTGTATATTTTAACTTGTAACCATTTTTTTCGATCGATCCTAGGTTCATATATTATTTTTTAGTATTTCTGATCGAATTAGTAAGTAGTAACGTGTGATTAAAAAAAATCTCAATCAAGTATTCATGTAATTCATGTAATTTGATCTCAATAAAAAAATTACCGGCCAGAAAATAAGCTAATTCCATGATCTATTAATACTCTCTTTTGCAAAGACAATTATTAGCCCTAAGCCACATTTCGTAATTTTCCCACACCTAAGATCGAGCAGATCAGCGTATAGTAAAATTGATACACGATACTTTTAATTTTTTTCTCAGAACTTCAATACAATATTAAATACTACTACATGAGCATTTGTTTAATTGATTTTTTTTTCGCAATCTAATGATGTCGTACGGTCGATCACTTAACGTATGTGGATTAGAGTCAGTATGATAAGAAATGACAATGGTGTTTTGAAACTTTCAAAATCATTCACTGCATAATCTTCTTATTCCATACAATTTTATCATCGTATCATTAAAATCGAATTCCCAATGCATTTCAAAAAAAAAATATATTAGAATTATCTCAGTAAGAATAAACTTTAATTCATAAAATTCTTTTAAATTACTTACCTCGCATTAACTGTACCACTATCTAAATTAAATGATCGCTATACATTTTTCGTTTTGTTTCCAATTCGCTTTATACAACTTGCCAACTAATCCATTACTTATCTCTTCTTTGTTAATGAAATCTTTATTTTCACTGTTTCTCCTTTATACAACTTTCTATCAAAACATTTCATGGCGTTATTGTTGATATATAAATTTTCCTATTGGCTGACTGATCTCTAGTAGTCTTAGACCTTTGATCTAGTTCTTTTCAGCAAATTCATGTTTTACTATATCTGAATTAATTTCTTCCGCCAAATGTGTACTCATTGTGTTTCATCATATTTCTATCATTATTAAAACTTTCCAACTTAACTTGTTGCATATCTGGTCTATCGTCTGGATTTTATCTTGCTAAAATTCTAAAAATTGACAATTAAACGATTAGTATTTATATAATAAATCTTTTTCCATCTAAAATTTCACTTAATAATACTGCATCTTCATGGACGATATATCATAAGATTCAAATGGTTTTTGTCCCGATGATATTTCCCATAGGAATATACAAAAACTGTATACATCTGATTTCTTACTTGTTTTATATTGTTCAAGTTTAGCTTGGACGGGTGGCTGAGTCTGTTTAAAGGCGCCTCACTTGAAATGAGGCAATGCTCCTCACATTCCAGGGTTCAAATCCCACGGACGTTTCTCCACTTAAAGTAGAAGCAGTTTTGATGCCTCAGTACCGTTTCTAAAGCTCTGTGGATCGATATAAGGTACCGTTCTAAAAACACCATTTACAGACAGCTCTATGTGAACGACAAAGTCTACTAATCTTGATGAACCAATATATTATTAACATGCTATTTGTAAAAAATTAATAAAATAAAACAAAATATTTACCAAATCATTATGAATAATATTTTCTTGATGAATAAATGAGACTGCATCGGCAATTTAACTAATCTAACTTAGAGAAATTACTTTTAAATAATTTCTTAATGTACCATTATCTGCATACTCAAGAACTCAAGAATAAGTAAATAATTTGAACCAGAAGCATCTTAATTAAAATGATAATACTTTGTACTTACCTTTTCTTTCAATAATGCCAAAAATTGAATAATATTTGTATGAAATTAACTTTATTAATCAAAAATTGATAATTATTAGCGTACATTTTTTATCTTTAATTTAAGATAACACTACTGTATAATTATAGATTTACTAATATACCTCATTAACAATTTTTTTTCATAAAACTGCTATTTTCCAAAGATTTTAATATAACAACAGTATTCGAACTTGCTCAATTAGCTCGATAAACTTTACCAATACTAATATATTCCGTTCATCATAATCATGGTAATTAATTAATTCTTTAGTAATTCCATCCTTAAATTCATTGAACCCATTTCATCTATATCAATATTTTATTAATTGGAACTGTCCGACATGGTTAAAGAGAATTTTGATTTCAAAAAATCTTTTTTGTGTGCGACAAATAAGGGGTGCAATTTTATCTCTGACTTTCACTTGTGTCACATCAGAGTCACCAATCATCACGTACATGATCACGCGCATTTCCTAATAATGCTAAACGATTTTCTCTTTAAACCCATTAACCCTGAAACTAGTGATTTGTATCATTGAATTTCATTACGTATAAAAGTAGTCATAAAATGTGATATGTCATCACTGCTCACTTAAAGCAATTGTTAAAAAGGGAGAATACAATGAAGCATTTAAATTTTTTTTTTTTTCGATTCAATTAACCAAATCTTAATGTGAATTTTTTCTCTGATAGATGCTTCGTGAAGGAATTAACCCGAGGTTGGAAAAGTTAAGAAGCGAAAAGAGATCGTATTTAGTTCCTTTTCATTCCCTTATCTTCGACACTTTTAATATCAAAAATCTGAACCCTAAGTCAAATGTACAAATTTACATTTTGCGACCCTCTTTTTCATGTGACAATTTTCACACGATTTCCGGAATATTAATAAAAATGAAAAACGGACAATAAAGTTATTGATATTCAAAGGGTGCATTTTTAAGAAATTTAGGAATTTCAGAAATCCATTTCCAAACTACGGATATATTATCTGTAATTTTGTTCATAGTTCTTGGGTTATGAAGATTTGTAGATACATAAAATTACATTTTCAGACGATACTCATTTGAACTTTATAAGTCACAATTCATATTTCAATACACTCTCTAAAATTCGAGTTATAGAGCTGGTGGTACAAGGTCAACCCTTGATATGTAAGTAATTCTATTTTAGTAAATTAATAAAATCCTTTTATAAATAAATGTTAAAATCAACAATTTTAAATTATTTTTTTTATCTAAAAGTAAAATACTTTAAAATATTATATAAATCGGACGAAGACCGTAAAAACCGGCCCTTGGATCGGTCCGCGGAGACCCGAATTCTGTAACGTAACAGTATATTTAGGTTTATAAGACGTAATTGGTTACACAAATTTTACTAATAAGGATGTATGTGCACCCCTGAATGTAACTCAAGTATGCTCCTCAATGATATATCGTATGACAAGGGAAGATATTTTTTTATTCATTTAATATGGTTTTCAACTTTAAAAACTTTCTTTATTACATTGATAATGATGAGAAAATTCCCATAACAGTAAAAACTATAAGTGATTCATTACAAGTACCTGAAAAATCAGTCCTTTTAAGGTGTTCGGATAATTTACTAGTAATTCGTCAAGAACTTGAAAAGAATTATGACAATTTATTATTTCTAAGAAGATATTCCCAAAATAATATTGATAGTCAAAGTCATGGATTTGCTGAAATAGCATGTCAAGATGAAGAAGTCATTCACTTAGATGAAATTGTAGATGGAGATATTATATATATAAAATGTAAAATTAGAATTGATTTAAATTTTTTAAACGAAAAATGTAAATTAGATTATGGGTGTACCATGACTTTTGATGAAATTAAAAAAGCAAATAAAAGAGCATTTGAAATGAAAAATTGTGAAATGAATGAAATTAATTCGTATGAAAAAGGGGTGGTTGAATTTAAAACAAATGAAGAACGAATAATGAAAACGAATTTATTTTTCAGTGCTGATGTTAATGTTGAGAATTTTTTAAAATTAGGAGTGTCAATTAAAAGTATGAAAGATAAAAAATCTAATTCTGAAACTAGTGGTTCTTATCATTTTATGAAACATGCTAAATTATCTTTAAAATTTACTGAATATTTAAAATGTTTAGAACCAACTTCAGAATTTACTGAAGCAGTTAAAAATGCTATAGATTCTGAAGATCCTCCTGAAAATTTTAAACAAATTACTAAGGAATTTGGTCAATTTATTCCAACAGAAATTATTTTAGGTGGGAGAGCTCATTTTAAGGAACATATAATATCAACTGGAAATTTCGCAGGAAATTCTAAAGAAATAGCTATGAACACAAATGCAAAAGGAGCAGAGGTTGTTGTGGCAAGTACTTCTAATTGTTTAAAAGGAAAATCAACCTATCATAAATTTAACTGCACGAAATTAATTGGAGGTGGATCACCTAATAGCCTTGAAAATTTTAATGAAGCAGATTGGGTTAAATCATTAAAAGAAAATTATGAAAATTGGGATTGTATAGAATTTAGAGATCCTATTAGCATTTTTCAAATTCTACCTGACAGTTTACATAAACAAATCATTAAATCAATCGGGAAAACAATCCATTATTCAACTACTGAAGAATTTTGTCATCAGTTAGACCAGCCAGAAGAGTTTGGAAAACCAAAAATTTTTGAATTAAATATGCCACCAGATGTCTTAAAAATTGTTAAAAACAAAGATGCAGACTGCAATATTTTTGCAACTGTCATCGATACGACAGAATCAAAGAATGATTTTTTTACTTGTCAAGTTCTTTGTCCACCAAATGGGAAACCAAATCTTATAATTCATTGTGTCCAAAAAAGATTTAAAAGACACGAATGTAAATTAAAAATCGGATGGATGGTAATTGGTTATGTTACAGATTTTAATCTCATATTTTCAGATTTTAATGCTCAATTAGAGATTCTGAAAAATGAAAATGTACTAAATAACCAAACTATGATCAATACAGATCTATTAAATTTTAAATATAATCCATATGTTAGAAAAGTTCCCCCTTGTTTAGGTATTCCTGTATTAACAAAATTAGATTCTTCAAATGATTCTCTTATTATCGGACATCATTTTTATAATGCTCACGAAGAAAATCAAATTGGAGCTTACACATTTTCCTATTGTTTAAAAAACAATCACTTTGTAAATTTACCAAACTTTATTTTCTGTACACTTATTATTTCAAATTATCACAATAGTAATGCTTATGATGTAATTTCTTTTGACTATCCAATCTTAAAAAAGAAAAAACCATATATTGATCTTACAGCTGGATCTTGTAGATTTATTAGTTTATATTCTACTCACAAAGCTAATTGTGGACCGATTTTTCTAAAACAAAATTGCAAAAGAATTAAAGCTAAATCTATCGAGTGTAAAAATACAACTTGTTATATTTGCAAAAATAACACATTAAGAAAATCAGATAATAATATTAGATGTGCATTCTTTGATCCATATCAGGTATTTATTTCTTATTTTTTGGCTTTTTTTTGTAATCATACTAGTAATATTAATAAATAAAATTTTTTTAACAGATATAATTATTTATAGAAAATGTACAATCTTAATAAATATTTATTATAAGTTTGGTTGACGGATATGTCATTTGTACTATATATTTAAGTAAATAAAATATCAACAGGTTTGGTAATTATCAAGTCGTTTGCTTGTAAATATTTTTTTTTCATATTCTTCACGGTCTCTAAGAACTAACTTAAATTATTTTGGCACAATAACAATAATCTATACGAATAAAATCTTTTAACAAATTAAAAATTAAGATTAAATGAGGATAATAAAAAACCATCTTTTGATTTTTATGTTTCTAGGCTTTTAAATAATTATAATAAATTATAATATTATTAAATAAGTTACTTTTTTATAATGCGATACTGTAATGATAAACTCCCTGAAAATCAGCATCCTATCGTCCTAAATTTAAAAACTAGCAGTTATCGTCACATAACAACCTCCTCTAGTTATCTAGATATAAATTAATTAGTATCCCTCCTTATTCCTTCCCTAGATTTTAAAAGTTTATTTAATCTAGTTTGAGCGCTTTATCAGTGGATTTTTTATACCAAATCTTTGCTTGTTCCATATCTCTAATAGTTCCTTCTCGCCATATTATTTCCTAAATTTGCACCTTTTTGATATAACTCAAATGCCTTTTGTTCATCAATTTCAGTTTCAATTCCAACAGAATAACAAAATTCTAACATTGATATTCCACCTGAATATTAGCATTGATCTTTATCAGCGCCATTTCCGTTTAAATATGAAAGTCCAAGATTATATTTTGCCATTAAATTACCATTATTTGCAGATTTTTTATACCAAGAAACAGCCACTTTCAAATCTTTTTTAACACCTCTTCCATATAATAACAATAACCCATATTAATCTGAGCTGCAGCACAATCTACGCCAGCAGATTCTTCAAATATTTAAAAGCTAATTTTTCATCTTTTTTAATGCCATATTCACGTAAATAACATAATCCAACATGATATGACGCTAATTTATGATCTTTCATTAAAGGTTTAGTAAAAT